GATGCAGAAGTATGCCATTCAGCCCAACTATGATGGAATCAGGGTTCACTTGAGCCTTCTCCCACACTACTCATCCTAGTTTATCAACATATCCCTCCATCCTTTCACCTTCATCTGTTTATTCCCGTTTCACCTAAACCAATCCATATAAACAGAAACAGAAATTGCTGGAAAAGCTCAGGAGGTCTGGCAGCATCTGTGGAGAGAAATCAGAGTTAACGCTTTCAGGGTCAGCGACTCCTCCTCACAGCACTCCTCGTAAAAGTGAGTTTGAAATTCACACTACTTTCTGGGTAAAACGAAATAAAATCTTACCGAGAGCTTTCACAGCCAGTAACTACTAGATCTCTCGAAGTGCTTAGTCAGTGAGTTTTACATCAGCCACATCCAGCTCTTTTCTCCCAGTCCAGGGCCCTGATCACCATTTGTCAGCCTGTATTAAGGTGAGGTATACACTCAGGTGAGTGGACTAACAGATTGTATTGAATAAAACTGTCTGCAAGGGACGGTAAGAGGTGCCATCTCTGGAACTCAACACACTCAGATCCCAGTTTCATCTGATCCAATGCTACTAACCAGGAGAGACAGTGGTTCAGTGAGACTGTCACTGCATTAGTGATCCAGAACACCAGGCTAATCCTCTAGGGAAATGGAATCGAATTTCACCAGCTCCTCTGGTGGAATTTAATTATAATTAATAAATATAGAACTTAAAGCTAGTGACGGTGACCCTGGAACTATTGATTGTTGTAAAAACCTATCTGGGTCACTAATGTCCTTTAGGGAAGGAAACTTGCATCCTTACTCACTCTGGCTTCAGACCCACAGCACTGTGATTGACTGCAATAAGCACTGACCTTGCCAGCAATGCCCAAATTCCAACAATTAACTATGACATAACTCCTTTTGCACACACACTCAACAGCTATTCCTAGAATAAAGGTATAATTAACCCTTTCCTCCACATTGGTCACCTGCTATCCTGCTCAAATCAGTGAAGACGTCTTTGTTTAATTTTTGGGAGAATGCTTGGCAGGTTTGTCCTTGAAAGGATTGCTTCATTAGTGACTTTGCCTTTCCATTCAATGCCAAAGATGCGTTGTCCCCTTCTAAACTTGCTGAAACTTTCCCATGGACAAGGGAACATTTCTCTGCCCATTGCCTACAGCTGAGGTTTAGCTTGGGTTTGTTCATCATTTCAGTCCAAGGTGATGTGTTCCACACCCCGGTACTTTCTGCAGGAAGAAAATATCTCATTGGACCTGAAATTCTGCCCATGCATCTTTTTCCTGGCAATCTCATGAGCATTTGTTCAAATTTACAATCTATGTTAATGACTTGGATGAGAGGACCGAATTGATGGTAAACTTGCAAAAGACAGTAGTAAGTAGGAAAGTAAGTTGTCAAGTGGGCTTTGGGAGTCTACAAAGGGATGTGGTTGGGTGAAAGAGTGGGCAAAAACTTACAAAGTGGAGTATAATTTGGAAAATAAGAACTTTGCCACTTTGACAGGAAGTATACATAAGCAGTATATTACTTGAGAGGGGAGGAACTACAGAAATCTACATAGAGAGGGACCTGGGGATCCTGGTACATGAATCTTAAAAGGTTGGTATACAGATGGAGTAGGTCAATAGGAAAGGAAATCAAATATTGCAGTTTATTGTAAAGGACCATAGAATCCCTACAGTACAGAAAGAGACCATTTGCCTATCAAGTCTACACCGACTCTCTGAAGAGCATCCTAACTAGACCCATTCCCCCATCCTATCCCTGCAACCTCACATTTACCATAGCCAATCCATCTAACCTACATGTCTTGTGGGAGGAAGCCCAAGCAGAAATCCACACAAGCACAGGCAGAATGTGCAAACTCCACACTGACACAGTCACCCAAGGCTGGAATCAAACCTAGGTCCCTGGTACTGTGAGGCAGCAGTACTAACCAATGAGCCACCATGCCACAAAAACATGGTGGTTTTGTTAGAGTCTTCAGGGCCTTAGTTAGACTGCATCTGGAATGTATAAGTTTGGTCACTTTACTTAATAAAATGCATAATTTTATTAGAACCTGTTCAGAGAAGAATCAGATGATTGGTTCCTGGGATGAAGAGATAATCACATGAGGAAAGGTTGAGTCTGTATCCAGTGGAGTTTGGAAGAATGACAGGTGATCTTACTGAAAGATATTAGATTCTGAGGGGGATCTAACAGGGTGCATGCTGAAAGGATGTTTCCCCTTGTGGGAGAATCTAGAACTAAGAGACATGGTTTAAACATTAGAGATCTCCCATTTAACACTGTGGTGAGGAGCAATTTATTTCTCTCAGAGGTAAGAAACATTTGGACAAACATGTGAACAGGCAGGGAACAGAGGCTTATGGACAATGTGCAGGCAGATAGGATTAATTTAGAATGGCATCATGGTTGGCACGGACATGGTGGGCTGAAGACGTGTTCCTGTGCTATACTGTTCTATGTTCTATGTTTGTAAATCTGTCAAACCCAATTCCCTAATGAGTGGTGGAGCCTGGAGCACTGATTATTCTCGAGGCTGAGTTAGACAGATTTTTGATTGACAGGGTTTATGATTGGGGATGAGGCCATAAACAAACCAGCCATTAAAACATGGAACAGGCACATGGGTTCCAATTGCTGTCTCCTGCTCCCAGTTTCTATACTCTTTTGCTTACATGGGTTAGTTTAGCTCAGTTGGCTGGACAACTGGTTTGTGATGCAGAGTGATGCCAACGGCAGGTGTTCAATTCCTGCATCAGCTGAGGTTACCATAAGGATGCTCCTCAAACTCCATCTTGCCTGAGGTGTGATAACCCTCAGGTTAAACCAGTTGCCTCTCTCTGATCAGAGAGAGCAGCCCTATGATCTGGTAGGATTATGGAGGCTTTACCTTTTAACTTGTGCTCACCGTAACTTATTTAATTTTGTACATTTAGCCTCTTATTTATAAACATCAGGTTCTCAACTGATTTATTAACCACTTTCTCGAACTGTCCTGCCACCTTCATTCATCGCACTCAGAGGGTAGTGGGGAATTCTTTTCTGCAGAGGGCTGTCAAGGCTGGCTTATTAAGTATAAGGTCAAGGCTGAAATAGACAGATTTTTAATCAGTGAGGGGAAGCAAGAGTTATAGAGAAAAAGCAGGAAAATGGATTTGTGAATTGTTAGCTCAGCCACAATCTTATTGAATGGCAGGGCAGGCTAGATGGTGTGAATGGCTTACTTCTGCTCCTACATCTTATCATCTCACAATGGGAAGTCATATAGAGCCTGATGGGTGCAGTGTGGTGATTTCAATATTTATAATGTGGTGAGGAAACAAATCAGTTTAATACCTCCAACTGATCTATATCCTGCTGTATTCTCTGACAATCCTGCTCACTATCTGCAACTCCACCAATCTTTGTATAATCCACAAACTTACTAATTAAACCTGCTCCGTTTTCCTCCAAATCATTTATGTAGATCACGAACAGCAGAGGTCCCAGCACTGACCCCTGTGGAACACCACTAGTCACAGCCCTCCATTCTGAAATGCATCCTCCCACCACTACCCTCTGTCTCCTATGACTAAGCCAGTTCTGTATCCATCTTGCCAGCTCACTTCTGATGCCACGTGACTTTACCTTTTGTACCATTTGAGTGAGAGGACCATTGACCAGTGTCACAAAGAAACATATACCCTTCATTGAGCTCTTGGTAAATCACAGTGTAGCAGCTGGTTCATCTCTATAGAAATGTCCTGGTCCATTCCAATTCTACACAGAGGAAGCTGCTTTAACAGAAATTGCTGGAGTATTGTCAATTATATAATGAAGGAAGATTGGAGAAAAGGTCCATGGATGGTCAAAGATATAGTGAGCAAGATGAAGCAGAAACAAACATGAGGGAGAAGCAGTTCAGACAGAAAGAAAAAGGAATGAGAGAAAGAGAGAGTGTGTAAAGAGATTGGCAGCTCACATGAAAGAGAATCCAAAAGTCTTAGAACTATAACGAACAAAAACATGGCAAAAGGAGGAGTGGAACCAATTATGGACTGGAAAAGTATTCATCAAAGCTGGGAGCATCGCTAAGGTTCTTTACCAAGGATTCTGCCAAAGTCGTAGTGAAAGTGAATGGGTAGAAAATTGATAAAGAGGAGATAGATGATAAGCTGGCTGCACGTAAATTTGAGAAGTCACCAGCATTGGATTAAGTGCACCTTGGGATACTTAGGGAGGCCAGGGGTGGTAATAGGTATTGGCCATTGCAATTGCCCTTAGACCCACGGTTGGTGCAAGAGGAACAATGAATTGCTACTACATCAGCATTTGAAACAGGATGTAAGGTTAAATCATGCAATTATAGGCCACTCAGTTGAACTGCGATGATGGGAAAGATTTGAAAATCAATAACTGGGGACAAAGTTAACTGTCTTTGGACAAATGTGAACTAATGAAAGAAAAGACAATAAGAATCTGCTAAAGCCAAATTGTGTTTCAGTAACTTGCTGGAGTTATTTTGCTGAGGTAATAAGAACGGGTAATGCTGTTGATGTAATATACACAGCCTACCAAAGGTTTGGACACAATGTTGACAACAGATCTGTCAGCAAAGTCAAACCCCATGGTATAAAAATGGCAGAGATAGAAAATTACATGTGCAGGACAAAACAGAGAGTCTCGCCAATAGTGTCTGTTCTTTAAACCATCTCAAAAGTACTAAATACCAGAACGGTTTAAATCCAAGTTGGGTTATATCAATGTTGTGCTTGGGGGTCAGGAAGATCGACACAACCAGATAAAAACTGAACACCAGCTGCTCCAAGCCCATGCTCACTAATCTTCAGTCAGCTGATCGATAAATAGTAGTGACCAGCCCACAAAGCAACATTCCATGCACAAGATGTCAAAAGCCTGTATGGAAGTTCCCCAGTTCTCAAAACTTTGAGCATCAAAGATAGGGAATATTTACAGATTTTTAAAAATTTATTCATTCACAGAATGTGGCATCGCTGGCTGGGTCAGCTTTCACTGTACATCCCTAATTGCCTTGAGAAGGTAGTGAAGCCTCCACGCTGCTATCCGTGTGAGGTAGGTGCATTCTCAGTAAATTTCTGAGGGAACTTTTTCACTTTCACTAATTCCTTAATTAGTAGGTGCTATTAGTTTGTAACTGGCTTGACTTGTCCTGAATTTTGTTAATGCTTTCATCTTTTTTAGATAAACAAGTTAGTGCAGTAAGAATTAAAGCAATCAATGCCAACAATGTGTCCAAGTTGATGAAAATTTATTTTGCAAAATAATACCTTTGTTTGGCAACATCTAGTTTATTATGGTAGAGTGCACAAACAAAGATGAGATTCATCTAAAATTCCAATTGTTTAATGCAATGAAACAGAAAGCAGACTGATATCAGCTGTTTAAGATAGTTTGTAAAAGACAACTGAACCTTTGTGGTTCTCTCTTCATTGTCTCCACAGTCCCCAATCAACCCGTATGAACTCAAAAGTTGATGAGCTATCTCTGCAGCAGCTGTTGGGCTTGTTGTGAGCACAGGTGGGTCCCTTGCGTTAGCCTCCAGCCTCCTTTCTGGGTTTTGGTCAGAACCATGTTTTTGCTTTTTGAATTTTTTTGTTCTCAGACCTCACCCCATTTCAGATGGATGTTGAAAGTTTGGTGCAGGGCCTCCTGGATGCTAAGACACAGAGATTCCTAACTTGGCCAAACAACAAGGGTTGCTGGGTACGTCGGCCAAGTAAAACTCTGAAATCACAAAGCCCACACGCCAGACACAGTGCAAACATAGCAGCCAAGGGCTGATGACATTACCTTAAAGTAAAAGGCTACAGTTATCCTGGATAGACATATCCGCAACAACGTATTTACTAAAAAAAGGAGGACCCAGACAGAAAGGCACTGGGTCCTGCTACACAAAGAAACTAACAGTAGCATGCCATC